GCAAATCTGTTGCGCGACGCAAAGAGTGGGCACGTAAATTTTCAAAGACGCTGTTCCTTCGAGCGTCTCGTCATGTCGAGTCTTGAAATCGTAGAACACGAATGCGACGCGCGCGTTTTTCCTCTTGCCAGTGTAATCCTCGCGTGCGAGAGGTCGAATATAACAAAGATGATTACCATTTTGACGCGAATAAATGTTACAAAACACGACGCCGCATTCGTGCCCCGCACCCGCTGGTCTGTACAAACGCCCGCAATAGTCACAAAATTGCAACTGCATACGCTTACGCGACCGTCTCCGTACTATTTTTCGGCTCGGTGACGTTCGAGACACTCCCGTCCGTAAAACAGTCTCTTACATTGCTCGCATTGAATTAATTCTACTTCTTCCGATTTGCATGACGGCACACCGTGACAACGCGGACATTTATGCGAGTACCGATGAACTCCTCGTTTGGGACGATAAGGCAGGTTGCAAGGATTGCAGTATCTCCTGCTCTCCGCCGCCGCTCTGAAATTTAAAGTCGGGCAATAGTGACGCGAACCCTCGCAATAAAGAATATTTAAACGTAGCAAGGATCCGAGAGAAGCGAGCAATGTGCTACCGTCGTACAACGGTTTTCCGCCTTTCGCGAAAATAGACGAGGCGTAAACACTTATTGCGTAAACTATCCCCTCAACGGCAAGGTAACGCTGAAACCGCTCAATTTCCCCAATACCACATCCCTCTTCCGAAATTGAGACGCCCGCCCTCTCCACCAACTCCTGTGCCCATTGGCGTTGTAAGGACGAGTTCGAATGTCTCAGTGCATTCCACCGCTCATGTAGCTCGTCCGTGCGGGCGTTACCTCCTTCGAGATATACCCGAGCGGCAACAAATGAGCGAGGAAAACAGAGGTTGTCGCTATTCGTTATTGAAAGAATCGAGCGTTTCTCGATTCCTTCCGCGCCCAGAGGATGGTCTCCTCTACCCGACGAGAGTGGACGGTGCATACGCGTATCGTAAACGATGCAGCGATGTCTATCCCTCCGTTACTTTGCGCAACCGAACTCACGAAAGACCAAATATTTTTGTGAGTCAAGTCACGCGCAGGACGAAAAGAAAGACCCGCTGCACCGTTGGTCAAAGACGGGGAGTCGAACCACACCCCGACGTAATCATTCAGCTCCGATAAATTTCTTAGCAAGCAAGCTCAGGTGACCCCCCGAATGAGTTCCCATCTTGTAGTAGCTCCGAGGCGGAAGCTCGGGGCTCGCGGAGCGCTTGGTGTTCACGTGGTCTGGCCGTCTCGTAGTAACTACACGGAACGTTATTTTGTTCCCAGCATGTGCTGGTGGCGGCATTGATCGTCAGCTCCTCTCTGGACGCTGGCGGATCTGCCTGGTCGTGCCGTCACAATGGAAGTGTAATCTGACAACAATTGACCACAGAAAGTGAGCATCTGGTGTCCTCGAGGGCTGTGGGCTTTCACGCCGGAGCGGATGGTGGGACTTACGGTCGCAGGCAATGGTCATCCGCTCAAGGATAGGCCAGTCTGTGACCAACTAAGAGGAAACCCCTAAGTTAAGGTGTGAGCGACCATACCGAGAGCTGCGTGGCGCAAGGAGAGTTGCGTCGTGAACGGTGCCTCCTGGATACCGGGCGAAATCCAGGAGTACGGAGCCAAGCCCCAGCCATTCGCGGCTCTGGCTGGGTGAGACTGCGCGACCGCGATACTCGTGGGAGCAAATTGGAGTTCGAAAAAGAAAATACAATCATCCTCAAATCAGTCCCCAAGAGCGAAGCCTCCTCTGGAGGTGAACGCCCAGGGGAATCTTGTAGTGCGGGAGCGGGCTCAGAAGCCCCAAAATACCGCGTAAGATATAGCGGGGCCGCTAGGCGCCGTTATAATAAACAGATGCTAGCCGGAAAGAGTGAGGCCAATAAGGTCCCCTCTATCTTCGCAGCCTCCTGCTCAAAAGGTGGAGCTGGGGGTGGGCGGGCTTCGGGTGGCGCGGCAAAGCGCGCCAAACCGAAGCACGCTACTCTCAGCCCCTCAGAAAATCGCCAGGGCAAGAGACCCAAAAATGAAGAGTCGTATGCATAAGCGACAAAAGGTCTTGTCAGAATGGTTCTCGTACTGGAGGGTTACCCTGACAAGAAAATGGGAGCCGGTGAAGTAGTTGAGATCACAAAACTAATCAGGTCTGTCATCCTCGGCATGTCTGAGAATGACAAAGCCCCCATTTTTTCACTGGTTCCTGGGAGAGGAATGGCGCACTCATTGTTGTGTGCGCCAACAAAAAGTCGGCGGAGTGGCTTAAAGCCCACTCCTCCGATTTAAAAGTCAGGGAAACTCCTCTGCATGTGCTGCCGGTTGGTGAGCTACCTAAGCGTCATCGGGTGGTGGTGCATGTGGAGGAGCCTCAAGTAGGGGTTGAGGAGGCTTTAAAGCTTCTCAATCAGCAAAACACAGGGCTGGCAACCAGCGATTGGGTCGTCACCAGGGAGACGTATAGGAGGGATGCTACGAGCGCCCACTTCTTCTGTCTGGTTGGCGACTCGGCGATGGAAGCCTCGAAGCACTGTGGCTTTAGGACTTTCTTCGGTCTTGGCCGGGCCACCGTTAGGATGGCGGAACGAGAGCGCGGGGAGGCGACGGAGAAGGAAATGGAGTCGGAGAGTGTCGGACTGCCTAAAAATGGCTTTTTTCGGCATCCAAATGACGGAGATTAACTTGCATCACAGCAAGAGCGCCTTGCTATCCTAGCCAGAAGCATGGCTGTGATGCATACAAGTATTGCACTAATCCAAGAACCATGGATTGTGAATGGTGCAGTAAAGAGACTGAATGGATGCAGCTGCTTATACAAAGCACACTCAGAAAAAAGAGTAAGATCATGCATTTTAGTAAAAGGACTAAATGCTATCTTTCTGCCACAGGTCAGCAGCGAGGACCTCACAGTCATCAAAGTGAGAGTGAAGCTGGCCGAGGAAGAGGACATGGAAGTATTAATAGGGTCATTTTATATGCCTTATGACTCCACGGATCCACCACCACATGAAGAGGTAAAAAACCTGGCGGCCTATGCAGAAGCCAGAGAGCTCAAACTCCTGCTGGGGTGCGATGCAAACTCCCACCATGTAGGATGGGGAAGCACAGACACCAACCTGCGGGGGGAGAGTCTGCACGACTACCTAATGGGCACAGAATTAACCATTCTTAACAGAGGAAACGAGCTGACATTCCTGGACTCCAGAAGACAGGAAGTCATTGATATTACGGTATGTACGGAGAGGGTGGCGAGTTTGGTGAGGGACTGGAGGGTATCGAAATAGCCCTCTGGGTCGGACCACAGACATATACGCTTAACTCTTCAACAAATACCGTAAATCAGCTGGGTTTGCAACCCACGAAAAACCAACTGGGAAGGCTTTAGGGCTGACCTTAAGGCCCAGCTCGCTGTGGCCCCAACCAGTTTTAGAACCAAAAACAACTTGGAAAACGCGGCGGCTTTTTTAAAAAACGCCATTACAAACTTCTTTGAATTAAACTGCTCACCAAAACTCAGGAATCCGGTGAACAAGATTCACTGGTGAAATAAAGAGCTCGGCAAGCTCAGGTTGGAAACGAGAAAGAAATTCAGCAAGGCGAAAAGAACAGGACTTGCAGTACACTGAGAGGCCTTTAGAAGCTCCCAACGAGAGTACAGCAAGGAGATTAAGAAATCCAAGTGCAAAAGCTGGAGACGTTTCTGTGAAAGCATTGAAAGCGCCCCGGAGGCATCCAGGCTTCAGAATACTCAGTTTGGATTACCGTCTCCAATTTGGCTGTTTCAAGCTCCCAACGGGGAATGTCACTGAGGAGGCAACTGATGACACATTGAAACATTTAATGGAAGTCCACTTTCCAGGTTTTGATTATAACATACAACCCTGCCGGCCGAAGCCTAGGGAATATAAACCCAGAGACTGGCGTCTGGCAGCTGAGGTTGTTGTTCCAAAGGGAGTTGAATGGGCTGTTAAGACCTTCTCTCTCTATAAATCACCTGGGCCGGATGGAATTTATCCGGTTTTTCTTCAAGAAGAGCTGGAGGTTCTTACAGGTCCACTCACAAAAATCTTCAGGGCTAGCATAGCCCTAAGACACGTCTCCCAGGCTTAAGGTGGTACAAGAGTAGTCTTCATACCCAAGCCTGGTAGAAATGGCCATATAACAGCCAAAGACTTCAGACCGATCAGTCTCACTTTCTTTGTACTGAAGACACTGGAGAGACTGGTCAATAGATATCTGAAAATCGGTCCTTTGCTAGTACATCCGCTGTCTCCGGCTCAGTATGCTTACAGAGAGGGCAGATACTGCCTTGCACTATCTCGTGGGAGGAGTCGAAGTGCAGTTGGAAGCAAAGGGATAAGCCCTGGACGTCTTTCTTGACATTGAGGGAGCTTTCGATAGCACCTCATATAATGTCATCAGAGAAGCAATGACCGGGCATCACATTCCCGCTGCTCTAGCAGACTGGACACAAAGCATGCTAACAGGAAGAACCCCGATTGCCACTCATGGGGACTCAAGTGTGCATGGTTTCCCCGCTAAAGAATGCCCGCAGGGAGGAGTTTTATCTTCCCTGCTCTGGTGTCTGGTCGCGGATGAACTTCTACGAGAATTATAGAAGAAAGGCTTCCTCGTCTTTGGCTACGCTGATGACGTGGCCATTATAGTGCGAGGTAGTTTTCTTTCAACACTTAAGGAGACTATGCAGAAAGCCCTTAAGATCATGCAAGACTGGTGTCAAGCAAAAGGACTCAGGGCTAATCCATCAAAGACCAAGGCCATGATTTTTACCAGGAAATATAAACCGGAAGCCATTGAGCCGCTTAGACTCGGGCGCGAAGAAATACAATACGTTTAGTCTGTTAAATATTTGGGAGTTTACCTAAACCCCAAATTGAACTAGAAAACACATCTCGGAATAAAGAGAACTAAATTCTATGCCTCTTATTGGGCGTGTAGAAGAGCAATGGACAAATTCTGGGGTATCAAATTAAATACTGCCCTACGGATATATAAGGCGGTACTAGTACCGAGCTTAACATATGCTGCTGTTGTTTGGTGGCCTAGAGTAAAAAAAATGGAGTCAAAGAATCTGCTAAAAAGCCTACAGAGTAATTACCTGAGAGCTGCGACAGGGACTATGAAAACGACACCAACAGAAGCGTTGGAAATAGCGCTCTGCATCCCACTTCTAAATTTGACAATCATAAGCGCGGCCAGACTTACAGCATATAGACTGAGGTGTCAAGGGGAGTGGAGAAATTTCGGGCGGGACCATACCAGGCTCGGTTTTTTTCACAAACCTCTCTTTACCTTAAAACAGGATAAAATATCCGGAATATGCCAAGTGGTCAAAACGTTTTCTATAAACTTGACCAGACTGGAGGGGCAGACTGGAAAAACGGAAATCTTCAGATCCAGCCGGGCGTTCAGGCCTGGTTCACTGATGGATCTGGAGCAAACGGTCGCTTTGGAGCGGGCATATACTGTCCAGGATCAAATCACAGGGAGTCGTTCTTTTTGGGTAGGTTGGCCACGGTCTTTTAAGCGGAAGTATTGGCCATTCTGGAATGTGCAAGACTCCTACTATCAAAAAAAAAAAACAAAAAAGAGAAGGATCAACATCTATACAGATAGTAAAGCAGCCATAGAAGCTCTTGCTAAGACCACCACTGAATCCTCAGTGGTCTGGGACTGTATGCAAGCTCTAAATAGTTTGGGTGAGCGAAACAGCATCACGCTAGTCTGGGTACGTGGCCACCAAGGTATTCAAGGGAACGGAATGGCTGACAGTCTGGCAAAACTAAACACCTTAGAGGAACCAGCCTGTCAGAGAGTTGGAGTCTCTTTTGCAATAAGGAAAAACCACATCAAAGACTGGCTGAAACGGGAGCACAGGACCGCTTGGGTGAAACTGAAGAGCTGCCGCCAGGCCAAGGTCCTGATGACACAGCCATTGCCAGGTAGAACAAAGGAACTACTGACTATGGGTAAGTACAAACAAAGATTGTGTATCGGTCTTCTCACAAGGCATTGGGCCTTCAGGGCACATTTATTCAACTTAGGCCTAGTTGAGGAGAGTAGGTGTAGATTTTGCGGTGAGGAAAGAGAGGACAGCGTGCACATATTGTTTCGCTGCCCGTCTCTAGTACTCAAGAGGTTCAAATCTCTGGGCTCCATGTTCGTGGAGCCCGAAGACCTGAAAATACACAATATCGGCCATCTGTGTAGCCTGGCAGCAAATGCCGGGCTAAAACAGCCTGGACGATAAACTACTAGCGGGAGTCGCAGAGGATCTTATAGATCTAGGTAACAAAAGGGACTCACAAGCTCTCCGCTTTTAGCTTATCTTATCTTATATATGCTATGTAAGTATATATATACATCCACACATATACATATACATATAAACATATATATACATATATAGTAGTATGTTATGTAAGTGTATATATATATATATATATACTAGGGCTGCGGTTATTCGAATAAATAATAATCCGGATATTCGGATAGTAATGTCATCGATTATTCGTAATCCGGATACTTCGAAATATCCGGATTTTGAATAGCTGGAGAATGAATATTCGGATATTTGTACACTCCGAATAAAACGGATAGAACAATTTGGATAATGAAGGTCACATTGTGCAGTCAAACATGTAACTTGCGACATTTCTCACTAGTTTGAGATTTATAAAACTTACACTATAATCGTGTGTATATGTATTAATATTTACCGTATTTTTAGCAAAAATAGGGTTTTAAGTTATTCGCGTTCGACATGATAATGATTGAATTATTTTATAATGTTATATGACTCAATTTAGAGACAGATCTCATATAATACATATAATTTCTTTATTGTTGTTAATAATCAGTTTTTCATCTAAAAAGTTCACAGAGTTATTATGTGTCTCAATAGTGAATATTTTAACCTATTATTATAATTATTGAAAGCATTTAATAAATTGTCTAAGTTATGTTAACTTTGCGCAAGGTCAGTTAAATTTTGTATATTTATTTATATTTATACATTTAAATTGTCACTGAAAAAGATATGAAAATTGAATAAAAAATTTGACGTAAATATTTAAATAAACTTTTTCAAACATCTAGTTTTTTGATCGTATCAGCTTCTTTTTCCTGTATCTACTAACAATTTGTAAATGTGAAAGCAAAATCGTAAAATAATCAAAAGTAGTACGCACCAAATAAAGAACGACAATCGCACATCTCTCAGCTATAATCAAACTATTATTGATCAAGTTGTTTTAAACTGAGAGTAATTAATAAATATACACACGATTTTATATTTACTCACATATGTATACAATTTCATATTCATATACAGTTATGTGTATAGATGTGCACAATTCTATGTACGATTTTATGAAACTTTTAAATATTTATGCATTTAGATTTATAAGTTAATATGTACGAAAAAAAAGTAGAGTTATTTCTTTATCTTTTATAATATAATATCAGAATTAGAGTAAACTTACTCGTAGATGACAAGTATAAATTCTTGAACAATAAATATCATTATTTTTGTATTTGTAATAGACTTTTTTAATTTTGTGATCACATTTCTGCCTCCGAGTACTGAAAGATCCCAAACTAGTTTATACGCTACTGAGTATATCGAAATATCCGGATAATACGGTGTGACGTTTTTCGGTGTTCTTACGGATTTCTCGCGTCGTCCCGCCCGAAACGAAAGAGCGAAATCGGGACACGGACGGAAGTCCGCGAGATCGGGAACGTCTGTATCGGCAGGAGAAAAAAGAGTGGTAAACCGAGCACACCACTGCGTTGAGCCGACGGATCCTTAGTAAAAATTCTGGACGCCAGACGCGTCACCGCGTCAAAATGTGCGTCGCTCGACACAATGGGCCGACTAGCTCTATTGGAACGGAGAGGGGTTGGGTCTGGACGATAAATAACCAAGGCTGTCCGGAACGAATCTCGGATTGAACGAATCAACCACACTGCAGATAGAGATAAAAATAAATAATTTATTATAACACCGCGGAGTAAGAGACGACTTTGCGAAAATAACAAAAAAAATACAAAAATAAAGTTCACTAATATGATACGGCGAGTTCGCTTTGTCGCGGCGGTAATTGACCACAAAAGAAAATAAGTAAAAGAAAATACAAAATTATGGTGACGATTAACAATACGCTCTACATAGAAACGTAATCAATCGCAGGATCCCGTTCTTATAACGACGCGTGACACCGGGAACGCTACGTCCAGGCGCGTTTTTAAGACTGGTAAAACTTCGGTGCAAGGACAAAGATGAGAGGGCTCTTTAATTAATAATAATAATAATAATAATAGTAATAATAATAATTATTATTATCATTATTATTATTATTGTTATTATTATTTGTTAAAGGCAATTGGACAAAAGTTTTTAATGATGTTTTATTTGTATGCAAATTTAGAAACGAACACCTCTTCGAACTTTAACCGACATAAATTTGTTTGCAACATCTTCCAAATTTAAATTAATCAAAACATTTTTTT